AACAGGGACAGGAGGAAAAACTATATGTCTGCATTGAAATGAAAACATTGGGGCAGCATTTTGTTTTATGGGGTGCACTTCTCCAGCACAACTGCAGCAAGGGCAGCTTGGCTGATCCTGCCAGCTCTGCAGCCGTGTGCTTGTGGCCCTTCCTTTGCTGCAGGTTTGCAGATGGCGTGGCTGCAGGGCCAGTCTGTGCAGCTCTAGGAGCCAACACTGAACTAATCTGGCTCCCCAGAAGTTCATTTTCTGTTAAGCCACTTCAGCTTCCTGCTCTACCTTGTATCCCTGTGCTGGACCTGCTTTGGGGGAGGAACAGCTGCAGCCCCTGCACTGCTGGGTGCAACCTGAAACCTTGCAGTGAGCTCCAATCTGCTCCGAATAATGGTCAGCTGCTGTGTTCTGACCCATTTCATGCTGCAAAACCCCAGCTCCAAACCCCTGTGCACCTGTAAAATGCAGGATTTGCTAGGTTTACCTGCCTTTGTGTGTCCCCTCATGACAGCAATCCATTGCAGCCTTCAAAAATGCAGGAATTTCATTAAGCAAAAGTAAACTCTCAGTTTTACGGTCATATTCTGTCACATTTTGTTCATTTGCAGGAAAAGCACCTTTCAAAGGAAGTGGAACCTAAAAAAAATTCCTCAGAGAGATTAACTGTAAAATAAAACTTCATGTGAATAGTTAGGGTAAACAATTTTGTTTCAAAACCTTAATTGAGGTAGTTATTACCTCAACAGCTGTATTTGCAAAATCCATACCGTGTTATTTACAGCTCTTTGCTCAATAAATAGTTGAAGACGTCCTGTTTTATATTTTCCCATGTGGGAATTCAGGCAGGTCCAAGGAGGGAATGCAAGCAGAAAAATATAAGTTTCTTGTGAGCGTGCCAACAATGGAAGAAACCAGTAGGAATTTGTTTAAAAATGTTTAAAGTATTGAACCATCCTGCTGGAACCTGTGCGCCGTGTGCTGTTTGCCTGTCACAAATGGCTTTTCTAAAAGAAATAAATGAATTTGCAAAGAGTTTTGCACATTGTGGAGAAAAGTACATCATGTCAGCCTTAGGTTCAAACACCCGAGCAGTTCCTGGTCCCAGGGGCAGCCGTGAAGGCGAGGAGGGGCGTGAGCGCGGCTTCATTTGCCTTCCTCCCTCTCCCTCCCCCAAGCAGGCTCATTCCAATCAGCAGTGTAATTGGAATGCAACCACAGTCTGGAGGAGGAAGGGGAATTTTTGGCAAGGAGAGGCAGAGCAGTTGGGAGCTTTATTCAGATTAAAGCATAGACGACCATTCATTATCAGTACAACACACATTAGCAACAGCACAGCATTGTGTTTCTACAGCTGGGACTTATTTCAGTGATTGTATTGCCCCACATAGAACATGCAAACAACTGGGATCTGATCACAAAACCCAGCGCTAATGGCTTTCAGTAAAAGATGGTGTTTCTGTAGGGGAAGAAAGACTTGTCTTCAAAATGAGCCATTGTGGTAAAAATTGATAGGCAGCCTGTCACTCTCCTGCGTGTTACATATGTTCTTGAACAAGTGCTTTTCTGGGAGAAAAACCCTCAGGGAAGGAAAAAACCAACAGGAATGATAATGTTAAAACTGTTGGTTGGATTCAGAAGGCTGAACTTGTTCTTCTGTGGTGATGACACGTGGAAAGCCAGAAGATTAGAAAACATAATCTTAGCTTTGGACGGAGTGCTTTCCTCCCCATAACCTCGGGGCTGTCTGTGACACAGTGTGGGTTCTTAGGGATGGATGGGGGTCTGCTGAGCCGTGTGTGGACTTCAATGTGTTGATTGTGTGTTTCCTTCTGCAGTGTGCTCACTTCCATGGACATTCATGATTGGTTTCATTTTCTTACCTGCCTTCCTTAATCTTTCTTTGATAGTACTGGTGTGTCTCAAATATACACGTTTAAAAACTACTTACTTAAGATGGCTTAAGCAATATTATTTTTAACATAGGAATTTAAAGACTAATATATCTGTAAAAAGGATTGTCTACAGCTGGAGCCCTGAGGTGTTTGTACCTCTCGCTGCTGGGTACAAGCACATTTAAACCTTGTCATTTATAATAAATAAAGAGGTGCATTATAACAGATAACTGGGTGCTACAAACGTGCAGGTAATGTAACACTAAAACCCACCTGTGAAGCAAAGTAGTGGTGTTCCTGTTTTGCAGGTGAATGTGGTGAACAAATTGGCTCCAAACAGTTTGATACAGACTGGAAATAACCCACCAGGGTTGAATACACAGCCCTTAAATGTCCGGGTTCCTTGAATTCACATAACACTTTCTTTCCCTCTAATGTTGCTTCCTCAGCACTCACTGTGGTGTTACCCGGCCTTTGGAGGTGAATAGATCATTGAGGACTCTGAGCTCATGTCTGAGAGGTGGTGATTCTGTGAAATCTCATAGATCTTTATCACTTTTTACTTGTTTTCAATGCAAGCTTCCTGCATTGGAGCTCCCTTTCCACTTGGGCTTCATGTTCTTCTTCCTTCTGCGAGACTTCTTGTTACTGATAAACTTATTATTCTGAAATAAACAGACTTTTTAATACTCATAAAAAACAATGGTAATGTATAACATAGGTTACCTTCCCTAACAACAGCTTGATGTCATTAAAAGTTGGATTTTCCTGTGGTTCCAAAGTTAGCAGCAGTTGCAGCAAGAGTTCTTCAGTAACTAGCAAAAAGAATAAACAGAGTTCAGAAAATGAGAGGGAAATTTTTATCTTTCTATAAAATTGACCTTTTCAATAGTCATAGTTCCTTTCAGTTTTTATGTGAGTTGAACCAATTATTCGCCCCCTCAATAATTGCATGTAAATTTTAATAGCTAACACAGATTACAGGGGTTTGGGGATACTAAATATTTTGCATTTACTTATAATAGTTAAATTATTTTTCAGTAAACCATTCTTTGTCAGTCACAGGAGTAATAAATAAGTAAAAGGAAATTGGCAAATATGATTCATTTAATTCCTATTTTTGAATATTTGTGGACTGTGTAGCAAAGCTGTCATAGAAGGAGACTGGGTAGCTCATAACATAATGCTTTTTTCATGTTTCTGTGAGCAGACCTGAGCAGCATATGTTAGAATGAGATCATAAAGCATGATAAAAAAATATTTAATGTATGTATACTATGTGAAATTGGTGTGCTGTTTGTCTTGGCACATATATATTGGAATATTAATGTTCTCTTCTGTAGACTTCCCAGGAAGTCTGTAATAAACAGAAACATAGCTATCCATTGACTCACTGATACTCTGTAATGAATACTTTATCTACACATGTGTGCTACAAGCCATTAATGTCATTTGATGATGCACTTATGGTACAACACACCCCCTGTTCTTTTGCAGTGTAGCCAGCCATTGGTTTGCATTCTAGTTCCAGTGCAAGTTTAAATAACGTTTTGTTTCAAAAGAATTGTAACAAAAAGTGCCTTAAAACGAGCACATCCAAATAATGAATAACCTCCCTCAGTGCCCCTGTGCCTGCAGAGGATCCTGTAGTGGTGGGGCTCTGTGGGTCTGAGCGTTGGGTCCAGAATCATCAAGATAAAGAAACCTCCCTTTAGTTCTTGCTGGTTTTGAATCTTTAGCTTAAATTGAGCTTGGGATAGAGGACTCAAAGATAATGAAATCCCGTGAGTTTGGTGGGAGTCATTGCCTGGATGAAGAGGAGACCCTGGCAGTGACCTGGAGCAGATCCTGAGCTGCTGGGAGAGGCTCTGTGTGAATGCCCAGGGAAATCTCAGCCACAGCTCCAGTCAACCGTGGAACATAAATCCATAGGAAACCAAACTTCCTCAGCTTCTATTCTCAAGGAACTATTAATCAGCTGGTTATCAGAATATTCAGGACAGGTTTTAATACAGTGTTGAAACTGTTAGAAAAGTGGAGCAGAAACTCTGGTACTTTTTCCCACCAATGGGAAAAGTTTTGTCCAGAAAAAGTCCTGAGATGGATGAGAGCTGTGTGTGTGTGGAAGAAGATTGTTTGAGTTGAGCTGGTGCTCGTGGGACCTGGGCTTTTTTACCTAGAAATGCCTGGCAGAGAGGGGGCTGTTGGTGGAAGCTTTCTCACATCTCTCCTGTTTTGTTAACCTGATAAAGCCAGAGTGGGTTGACATCTGACTTGCCTTAAATGTGGTTACCAGAGAGGGAAAAGTTGAGCCAAAAATATTAGTTTGTTCACTCATGGCTAATTGTTGAGGAAGCAGTTATTAGTCTGCGTGCTCTGTGTGTGCCCAATCTTATAAAAATGAGACTTCAGTTAAATTGCATTGGCAGGCGTGCTTTATTTTTGAAAAGAAGTGTTTGTAATTAGTTAATATTACAATTTCTCTTGCAAGAATAATTGAACCTCTTATGTCTTGGACATGATACAGTTTCAGGAGCACCCTGTGTGGTTGTGCTGTAGATGAATTTTGACTTAAATATTGGATTTTAAGCCTTCAGCTTCACTTGACACTTTCCATTACTTAAAATGGGTAAAACTGTGACAATAATTGTATATTTTTTTAGATATTTTAGAAAGTTGCCATCTATTTTACTCGGAGCTTTTCACCGCTAGATGAAAGGTGGCTGGTGGGCAATAACCTGCTGCAGTTCTTGGGCAGGTGATGTCTCTTGTGTTATCACTCATCTGAGGATATTCTTGGTGTAATAAAACCTTAAGGAGCCGCAAAAACAGTTTTTCTATTACTTGTTCTTTTTCAAATGCCTTTAGGTTGTTCTCAGAGTTCTGGATAGAGTAAACTTTAGATTGTTTGGCATGTGAAAGCCTTTGATAACTGTGGATTTTTTATTACATCATCCAAAGAACTTTATTTGATTTGTGGAGCAGTGATGTGACAGTCTCTTTCCTATATGTACTTGAGTGCTCAGAATCAAATACCTGAAACATTTGACTCTCTGTTGGTATTTTGTTACTCTTGACTGTTCAGATTGAAATTATTGGGTGAAAATCCCTTACATGGAGCTCTGCTTTAGGACTACCAGTATGTCTTTGAATGGAGAGAAATTATATTTATTACTTTTATCATCCTTTAAAAACCCCTGAAGCTGCCGACGTGGAACCAGGGTAACAATGTTGTTAGCAGCCCCTTGTATCAAAAGACTGTGCTGAAATTTTCCTGGAACTTTGATGTCCCTTTCCTGTGGAATGGCTCAGTGTGAAGGAGTTGTTCCTGCAGCCTCTGATGGGCATCTCCTTGTGTTTTATGGAGAAACCAAAACTCCTCAGACCTGGCCAGAGTTGTAGCCAGATTTTACAGTGCTGAATTCCAGTGGAAAGCAGCTTGATGAAAATCAGCATCTTTTTAATGTAAAAACTGGGAAGAGATGGATTCTTGTTTAGACTGTGCAGGGTGGTGCTCCTGTGGCCTGGCTGTGGAGATCTCCATGGGAGTGCCTGCTTTTGTTCAGGCAGGAATTGGGGATCAGGAGCCTTGCAGGGTCAGTGGGAGGCTCCTCTGGGGGGGAAAGGATGGCCAGTGGTGTTTGGTCTGAGGTGGTGCCTCTGGGATGTGATTATTGGATGCTCTTTTCTGTCTTTGCATTTCCTGGCAGTAATAAACATTGGCGATCTCATAGGAAAAATATCCAAGGGAATCATATAGAGAGGAATCTCTTGCAGCATCAGGTTCCAACCAAATAACTCTTCCCACTCCCCCCTCTTTTTTTTTTTTTTTAATACTAGCTGTGGGAATTCATGCTTTTGCTCAATCCCCAAGAATCCTTTTGTGTTATCAGTAAATATTTTAATGTTTCACGGGGGAATCTAATATTTCCTGCTTACTAAACCTGTGATTATAGATAAGCATAGTAGTTGAGCAGTGGTGCAGTTTGTGAAGAGAAGTCTTCTTTGTGTACCTTGGCACCTTTATATGAAATTTGTCCCCCTTGACCTTTTATTTATTTATTTGTTTATTTAAATTTATTCTCGTAGGAGATTGTTTTCCCCTGGGTATTTTTAGTTGACAAATGCAAATGTTCCTTCCTTTTAATTTAAACAAACAAACAAAAAAAGCCTGAAACAATTATCAGCTGCTACAAATAAAGGATATCTTTGGAACCATCAAAACTCTGGCTTTAGAAGTTAGTGTGCTCCACCCAAATGCTTTTCAGGTAAAACCTTTTATTTGTTAAGGATGCAGGATAGCAGCAAAGCCTTGGCTGCCTGATGTTCTACTTTTTATGATCAAGGAAGCTTTTGCTGGGCTGTAGAATTGAGGAAAAACCCCTGCTTGTGTCCCAGCACTAATTGTGGTGAACCAGCCAGGAGTGCTCCAGGTCCCTCTCTGGTGAACTCACAGCTGGCAAAATCTTGAGAGGGGGAAAAAAAGCCACAAAAACCTGAAACTATTGCCTGAGGAAAGCAGGACCATCTCACTTCCAGTGTTACCTGCCTCCAGGTGCATGGCTAAAATTTGACACTTCTAGCTCAGCTTTCAAGAATTAATTCACATGACAATATAAATAGTGAAGCAGCACAATTCATTTATGTTTGTTTTATTTTAAGCAAGATTTTCTGAAGTGTTGGTCAGGTAAAATAACGTTTTTTAAAAGTTGGCAATCAGTAACTTAATTTTTGTATTTCTGTTCTTCTTGCAGTACTGTGTGCAAAAAACTTGGTGAAAAAGGACTTTTTCCGTAAGTACATTTGTACATTTATTTATGGATGGAATAAGTATTATACAAGTTCTATTTTGCATATGATCATTAAATTAAGATATTTGCAGTAAGGAGTTGAAGGCTTTGATGTTTGATTTCAGGGCTTCTGTTTTTGTCTTAGGTGACACAGCACAGAATCATAATAATAATTAAAACACTGACACACTCTGTCTGTTTTTATGGGAGTGGGAAACAAATTTACCCACTCAGGCAAATTACATGTTTTTCAAATTTAGTGCCATATATTTATTAAGTCATTTTTCACCCAAGAACCTTTTGTCAAGCAAACAGATGAGCTCCTTAATTATTAATAACCACCTCATAACACTGATGTACTCTGAAATTATATTTTAATTAATTTTAATAATGTTTTGAAAGAAGTGCTAAGAAGTAGATGAAGAAGGCAGAAAGGAATGCTGTTGCCTGTGTCCTGCCTGCCACCTCCCACCTGGGAGCAGGAGGAGTTTGGTAGAGCAGACCTGAGCTTTGGAAAGAAATAGAAGAGGCAGTAAATTGAGATACTTCTAAAACATTGCTGATATTTGAATTTCTGTATTGATGCCAAGTTTTGGGTGTATAACAGTGTGAAAAACCCCCTGAGGATGTGCAGTGTGCGATGCTGCAGCACTGATGTCCCAAGGTCCCCACGAGCTTTCTGTGACACTTGTCCTGAGCCCTCGGAGCAGCTCTGGCTGAGGCACCTGGGACAAAATGGCACATGACAAAATCAGATCTGGTGAATGTTTCCCCACCTTGGTTCCTCCAGCTGGCTCCCAGCCCTGATGAGGGGAGAAGAGCAGGACCTGGGGGTCAGGGCTGGGAGCATCCCTGGGGTCACTTCAGCAGGAGGTGCTGATCTGATCATTGTGGGCTGCTCTGCTCCTGCAGCTGGAGCTCAGCACCATCTTCACACTGAGTTTTGGTGTTCAGGGTTCCTTAGGGACTGAGCTGGCAGCAAACGGAGCACAAAGCCAGCAGTACACCAAGTGTACACCAAATTTAGTACACTTAAAAGCAAAAATAACCTGTTAGGGACAATTCTCTGTTGCTCCAATATCAGCCAAAATTGTGATTTGATCTTAAACATATAAAGAATATAATAACTCTGTTTTCTCAGTATACAAAGCCTTTGGCTTCTTCGTATACTGATAATTTACTCAAATTTAAATTAGGAAGATTAAGGTGTTTGGATTGTTTTTCCCCCCAATGTGTTTGACTTACACAACTTTTCCTTAGTCCATATCAGTGAAATAAATTACTAATTTACCCATTTGCTGTGCTTAATACATCATGTTATTCCCATTCATAAAGTAGGGGTCTTATTTATTAATAAAAGGCAAATTATTCTTCAAATGAAAGATTAAATAACTGAACAATGATAAAGGACTTCAAAGCATCCTGATCCACTTGGTAGCTTTTCTTTCTTTTCCTCCTCACAGGACTTCCTGATCCCTTTGCTAAGGTTGTGGTGGATGGATCTGGCCAATGCCATTCTACAGATACTGTGAAGAATACACTTGATCCCAAATGGAATCAGCATTATGACCTGTAGGTGGTAACAGTGATAACCAAAGGTTTGAAGTGAAATCCTCTAAATTACACAGACAATGTCAGATATTCATTATCCTGTCCTATGTACAGCTTGGGAAGTATCCCAGAGTTTATTAGTTTGAGTGAAAAGTCCAACTAGCAAAATTCCACTTTCTCATTTACCTCAAAATTTAAACGCTGCGCTTGTTTTTCTGGTGCTGATGTCTGCAGCATGCTTACATGGACTACAGTGTTGTTTATTGTGTATTTTTGTGTTAAAATGAAGCAAGTAATTGACAGTATTTCCCTCAAACTGCACTTCTCTTGATGCAGTTTTTGTTGGTTGTGGTGCTACAGTATCTTTTTCTCTGTGTGCCTTTTGTTCAATTTTCTCTCCTTTCTGTCATTTTCTGTCCCAAATGTTGTTCTCACTCTGAATTATTGTTATCATCACTTGAGCCCTTTTTGGTGCTTCTGAGCAATAGAATCAGTATGGCACATATATGTCATGGTTTTCCTCTTTTTCTAAAGTATAGAATATTTCTGTACAATATAAGTTATTAAAGCTTTGATTTTTATGTAGGTCTCTGTGCATGCTTTATTTTCCTTGTCTTTTATTCTTTATCTTTTTCCTTGGGATGAGAGATGGGGAAGAGAAATGAACTGGTTTGCATCATTGTATTCACCTGTTCTGATCTCTGACTTTCCCCCCATGGCTCCATTCTCTATCCTGTATTATTAGAAACTGTTGGAGCATATTTATGTTAAATTTGGCCATCACCAAACCTGCAGCAAATTGGTGTTGGTACACAGGCAATTTCTTGTCCCTCTTTTTCCCAGTGAAGAGAAGCAGCTTGGTGGGTCTCACAGCAGAATATGAAAGGCCTGGTTTAAAGTCATGTCTTGATCTCCTCCTTATTTTAATATCCAAGAATAAATGTGTGAAGTCCTTGTTCATAATGTGTTAGTGCAGGATACAGAACATTTTCTTCTCTGCCTAACAAAGCATCATGGCAGTTTAGTGAAATAATAATATTATGGTTTTATTATCCAAACCCAGTTCAAGCTTAGATTCTGCATGTGAGATTGTAATTCATATTCATTAGAGAAATGGATGCAGAAGAAGTTTTAAGTTCATGTGTAGCAAATGGCTCTCTTTTCAATTGAAAGAATTCTAAGTTAACTTGGTTTTTAATTGGTACTAAACCTATCAAAAAATTGATTTATACAGAATGGAGGTTTCAGACCTTTCCATGTCCTGTCCAAGGATCAGAGCGGAGCTAAGGAGAAATCCCTGAAACCGAGCACAGACTTTGATTGTTTTTTAGTTAGGTGTGTCTGCTAATGAGCATTAATGCTCTGCTTTCCAGGGATGGAGGGTGGGAAGTGCTGAGTGAAAATCCTGCTGTGATGGAAGGGAGGAGGGTGGGCATGGTTTGGCACTCTGGGAATTTGAATTCTGTGTGTCAGGATTCTGTGTGGAGGTCGCTGTTCCCCACGGCTGCCCCAGTTCTGGCCAGTCTGAAGGGCTGTGGGACACTGGAGGTGTCTGGAGTGGCTGTCAGGGAAGCTCAGGGCTCCCTGTGTTGGAGATTTTTTCAGAAATGGCTT